GATTCTTGCAGGATTGACAACGTGTATTGAAAAGGTGGCCTGTGCTTGTGTGTCCTGCAGATTTTGGTACAAAACATGCAGGAAATTGTGTTGTGGGGTGAGGAGAGAGGGAAGAACATGGTGATATCTTGGGAGCCAACAAACCCCTCTGACAGAGGACAGTGAGGCCCAACCCTAAAGAACTTCTTCAGGAATCACAGGATTAGGGAGGACAACAACCTCCTTCCACAAGCCTGGGACAGCACAGGCTGGGTCCCCCAGAGATGGCAATGAGAGGAGACAACTGTGCCAAATCAACCAGGAGATGTCTTCCCTGAAGGAGAAGATTTCCTTGGGCAAAGCCATTTGAAACCAGCACCAAACCTCCGAGAGAGGCAATGCCCAGTGAAAAAGGGATGCTTAGCGGCTCCCTCACAGGTCAGGGATTCTTGCAGGATTGACAATGTGTTTTGAAAAAGTGTCCTGTGCTTGTGTCTACTGCAGATTATGGTACAAAACATGCAGGAAATTGCCAACAGACGCCTCTGACAGAGAGGACAGTGAGCCCCAACCCTAAAGAACTTCTTCAGGAATCACAGGATTAGGGAGGACAACAACCTCCTTCCACAAGCCTGGGACAGCACAGGCTGGGTCCCCCCAGAGATGGCAATGAGAGGAGACAACTGTGCCAAATCAACCAGGAGATGTCTTCCCTGAAGGAGAAGATTTCCTTGGGCAAAGCCATTTGAAACCAGCAATGCACCAAACCTGCCCAGAGAGGCAATGCCCAGTGAGCTGTGGCCTGAGCAGGGAGGCAGCAGAAGGGACAGGGATGCAGCACGCCCACACTGAGGGAAGACTTCAGGTGCTCAGGAGGGGATTGTTTGGTGGGAAGGAACGACCATGTTTCCACACAGGAGTTTGTAAAAACACTCCCCACATATTTGCCCACAGCCACAGCCCTCTGGAGCACGTGGGGGCACATCTTCTGCCTGTACTGACGTGACGGTGCTCGGGAAAGCCTCAGGCCTCTCATGCCAACACTTCAAAAGATCCTCTGTGGCCTAATGGCCATGTCAGCAATGGGGAAATGAAATGGCAGCGTTGACAGAAACCAAAGCACAACCTGGGGCATTTGGGAGGACAGTCTGCTTTGGAGATGAGTGTGTAGGAAAATTACTGCCCCTGTGCAGTGCCTGTGGGCCTGGGGCGGTGCAGGAGCAGTATAAAAGCAGCATCTTCTCCTCACTCTCCCATCCACTCCTTCAGCTCCATCTTGTTGGGAACAAGGTGAGTTTTGAGCCCTTTCTTGTCTTCCTCTGGGTTCTCCTTGTGCTCTTTCTCCTTCCTTTTCTCTTCCCCCTTGTAATTCTCTGGGATTTCTGATCAGATATGTCTGTCCTTGTTCTCTGCTGTGTCTTGAGGCTGCTTGGGAGAGGGGAGATGTGTTGTGAGAAAGTCTGGATATAGACTGAGGTGTCTCCTGAGCTGTGGGTTGGGAGGGGTTGTCCTTGGCTTTGGCCTTCATGGTGGTGCTCATAGGGGCTGAGAGAAAGGATCTCCCTCCCGGTGTGGTGAGGCTGCTCTTAAAACTCCCCTCACGGTCTGCTCCTCTCTTCTCTCTCTCTCAGGTGCACCTGCAGCCCCAAGCCATGTCCTGCTACACCCGGTGCCAGCCCTGCCAGCCCTGTGGCCCCACCCCGCTGGGCAGCAGCTGCAATGAGCCCTGTGTCAGGCAGTGCCAGGACTCCACCGTCTTCATCCAGCCCTCGCCCGTGGTGGTGACCCTGCCTGGGCCCATCCTCAGCTCCTTCCCCCAGAACACCGCCGTGGGATCCTCCAGCTCTGCTGCTGTGGGCAGCATCCTCAGCTCTCAGGGAGTGCCCATCAGCTCTGGGGGCTTTGGCCTCTCTGGCCTGGGCAGTGGCCTCTGTGGCGTGAGGAGCCTCCCCTGCTGAAACTGCTGGAAACTGGAAGCTTCCTTTCCTGGGGAAGGAACCCAGGGACTCCCAGGTGGTACAAGCCCAGGGATTGAGCATCAGTTCTCTGTCTACCACTCAGAGTGACTTCTTGTGCTCCCTGGGCTGTGTGTCCCACACAGCCATCCTGGGGAGCACCTGCTGGCCCTGCTCCCTCTGTGCATCAGGCAGGTGGAACCTGCTGGGATCTCTGCCACAGCCATGTGATTGAGATTCTGAGCTGCCCCTGCTGCTCTCTGCACTGAGCCCTCCACTCAGCGTGACCTTGTTCTCATCTTTTGACTCATTAAATTTCTTTTGCATCCCAGCCCATGCCTCTGTGTCATCTTTTCCCTGTTGTCATTCTCCCAAGATTCCCAAGGATGAGGTGTTGCTCAGGGACGGTTCTGTGTGACAGATTTAGGAGGTGTTTGGATGCCTTTTAAGTCAGGAGAGTTAAATCTGCTTTATTATGGTATTGCTGCTTTCTATCCTTCTTGCTATGCTTGGAGCTGGTAGAATGAACCAATCCTCTTCACTGGCCCTGTCTACTCCAAGGACGATTTTCTGTGTCCTGCAGCAGTCCAGCCCTCCCTCAGCTGCTTCTGGACAGCCCTTTGAGTCACTCACCCCACACCTGCTGTCTCTCTTCCTTCCCACTGTCTTTTCCTGCCACCATCTCTCCAAAAACTTTCCTAGGAAGCCCTGGGCAGAGACAAGGAAGGAGCAGGGCAAAGAGGACAAGCACTGCAGGTGGGTCCTTGTGGTGTTATGAGCAGCACTAAGCACCGAGCAGTGTCCTCATGATCTGCTGACCCAGTGGGAAGGGGGGAAATTGGAAAAGCAAGAGTGTGACCCACCCTGGTGTCAAGAGCAGGACATTCTGTGCAGGAATGGGAGAAAAAAGAGAAAACCAAGTGGTTCCAAGGCAATCATGTGGCTGCAGCAGATCAATGCCCAAGCAGTGTCCAAAGAATGGCTACTCTGGGAAGACTGTCCATAGATTTATTGCTAAGCATGGTATTATATGTGCCCAGTGCTGTGGTGGAATCACCATCCCTGGAGGGAATTTAACGATATTTAGTTGTGACACTTGGGGACATGGTTTAGTGTTGGGCTTGGAAGAGCTGGGTTAATGGTTGGACCCCTTAATCTTAAAGGTCTTTTCATACCTAAGTGATTCTATGATTCTACATGACCAGGAACAGCCCTTTGTCAGCTGAGGTCATTTGTCCTTCGGCAGAATGGGCTCCAAGGCCAGGAGGGAGGTTTGGGCAAAGCTGGATCTGATGGTCAGAGGATCAGTTGGGGAGTCATGGCTTCCTTCCTCATCTGCAAGTCACAGAGAGACATTTTCAAGAGAATTTTGGGAGCATCCAAGGATTTATACTCACGGGCTCAATGTCCAAGTGGAAACCAGTGATGAGTGGTGTCCATCAGGGATCAATACAGGGATCAATATTTGTTAATATGGTCATCAATAACATAGTGGGACTGAGTGGACACTCAACAAGAGAATGTCACCAAGCTGAGGCTTGAGGAAAGTGTTTCAATTCAGAGGGATCTTGGCAGATTTGAGAATGGTCCCATGTGAAACTCAGGAACTTCAACAAGGCCAGCACTGGAAGAGAAATGGTTTAGACCAGCCCTGCAGAGAAGGAACCAGAAATCATGGAGGTAGAAAAATTGGACATGGGCCAGCAATGTGTTCTTGACATGCAGAAATTCAATCATGTCTTGGTCTGCACAAACAGAAACACAGCCAGCAGGTCAGCTCTTGTTAGACCCTTCCTGGAACCGTGAATCCAGTCTGGAGTCCTCAATTCAAAATAGGCATGGACCTGTTAGAGCAGCTCCAGACAAGGGCTGCAGAAATGATCACACAGATGCATTGTCCCTACCATGGAGAAAGGCTGAGGGACTTGAGTTTTTTCAGGCAGGCTCTGGGAAGACCTTATTGCAGCATTTATGTATAGGGGAGAGAAAAGGAAGCTGTAGAGAGATATTATATCAAGGCCTGCAGTGACTGGGCAAGGAGCAACACTTTTAAACTGAAATAGGGTAGATGTAGGTGGGACATAAGGAAGAAGTTAATGATGTGGTGGGAAATGGAAAATGGCATGTCCCATCATGGGAAGTGTTCAGGGTGAGTTTTAGTGGAACTTTGAGTGACTGGTACAGTGGCACAGTATAGATAGGAAGGGTTTGCCTGGCACCTGATGGGAAGCTGGCAGCTGTGTCCTTGCAGCAACACATTCGCTGCTTGGTACCTCCAATGCAGCGCTGAGCTGACTGAGAGACAATGAGAAAGTGTGTGAAGTACAAGGTAGCCACTGAACTCTTTACAGAAATTCCATTCTGATGCAAAGAGGCAGAGAAACTCAGAACCCAGAGGGTCACTCAGTGCACACTGAGCACTCAGGAAAAGATTTGGGGTGATGTAATTGTGGCCTTGCAGCACCTGAAGGGAATTTACAGTCAAGATGGAGAGAGACTATTTACAAGAATATGTAGTGACAGGAGAAGGGGAATGGCTTCACACTGACAGAGAGTAAATTTAGACTGTATATCAAGAAGCAATCCTTTATAACAAGGGTGGAGAGGCCCTGGCACAGGGTGCCCAGAGAAGCTGTGGCTGCCCCTGGATCCCTGGAGGTGTTCAAGGCCAGGCTGAGATGGGGCTTGGAGCAATCTGGGATAGTGTAAGTTGTCCCTGCCCATGACAGGGGATGGAACTGGATGAGCTTTGAGGTCCTTTCCAAGCCAACCCATTCTGGGATTTTATCATTCTTTTCAGATCCATTGAGACAGGGAAACTCAGAACCCAGAGGATCCCTCAGTACACACTGAGCACTCCCAATGCCAGCCTGTGTTGACAGCCAGTGCAAAACCAGCCCCAACAACACCGCCCAAAAACACCCCTGGGGCAACATCTCTGCCTTGGGAGAGTGTCTGCAGGGCAAAGGATGACACAGAGGCACAGGCTGGGATGCAGCAGAGCTTTAATGAGTCAAAAGAGGGAGGAGAGGGGGATCCAGGTGGAGACTCCCAGGTGGAGCAGCTTCAGCAGGGGAGGCCACAGAGGCCACTGCCCAGGCCAGAGAGGCCAAAGCCCCCAGAGCTGATGGGCACTCCCTGAGAGCTGAGGATGCTGCCCACAGCAGCAGAGCTGGAGGATCCCACGGCGGTGTTCTGGGGGAAGGAGCTGAGGATGGGCCCAGGCAGGGTCACCACCACGGGCGAGGGCTGGATGAAGACGGTGGAGTCCTGGCACTGCCTGACACAGGGCTCATTGCAGCTGCTGCCCAGCGGGGTGGGGCCACAGGGCTGGCACCGGGTGTAGCAGGACATGGCTGTGGGCTGCAGGTGCACCTGAGAGAGAGGGAAAGAAAAAGTCATGAGGGGTTTTTGAAGAGCAACCCATCACCACACCATGCAGCTACACTGTCAAGCCAAGATGGGAACAAGAGCTGGAGGTGTTGTATTGATGCCCACAGGCTTCTTCTTCCATTTAGCCAAAGAAGTTCCCTGCCAAGAGCAACCAAGCCCAGGGTAATCCCACCTATCCCATCACTCACTTCAGCTGTGTCCCAAACTCTCCCTGTGCACACTTTCTGTTCCTGTCCCTCTCCCACCATAAGCAGCCCTGTGACCTGGCATAGAACAAAGGGGCAGGTACATCCAGAAAACAGGAGGGAGAATAGAAGGAGTGAGAGGAGAAAAATCTTCAACCTTACCTTGTTCTCAATGAGATGGAGACAAGAGGACTGGATGTGAGAGTGAGGAGAAGGTGCTGCTTTTATACTGATCCTGCACTGCCCCAGGCCCACAGTCACTTCACTAAGGCAGTAATTTTCCTACAGACTCATCACCAAAGCAAAATATCCTCCCTAATGCCACAGGTTGTGCTTTTGTTTCTGTCAACGCTGCCATTTCATTTCCTCATTGCTGACATTCCTGCTCTGCCTTGCATGATCCTTTCATGTGCCACAACTTGAAGATACCCCATGAAGAGTCATGCCAGTGAGTGCAGAGGTACAGGAGGGGTCCTGGGCAGGCAGATGTTGGCTTGGGACAGTGAAGTTCTGTTTGTAATTGCAGTGAGTGAGCTCCAAGTCAAGGATAGCCTGAGAAAAGCCAACCCATACAAGCAGAGGGTAGAAGGGAGGCGCTGGCCTCATCTTCATGGCCTGAGACTTCTCTCAGGCTGTGGTGGGGAGGCTCTCCTGAATGTTTTACAGAGCTAAAGGTTTGTGGAAAACATCTCCCCACCATCTGGGACACATCCCTTGGCTTTACATGACATGACTTCTGCCATTAGTGCTTCTTCATGCTTCGTTTCCCCTGACCCAAAGGCTGCCTCAGCCTGGAGCACAAATCAGCACCTGGGCATGTTTCACCTTTCAGAGAAGTTGAATCATGCCCAGCTCCCGAGTGAGTGAGAGCTGGAAGGACCCTGTGGTACCGCATGCCTGGGGATGCTCAGGGCGGGGATGTGCTCAGAAGGGCCCAGCTCTCAAACCACATCAAGCAGGGCTGCACTTCCCTGCCCTGCAGACATGGAGGCAGCTGGGGAGCATCCCAGGAGGGCAAGGGAATGCCTTGAGTAGGCAAATTTCCAGGGGGAGACTCTCTCTACCTGTGGGGAGTCACAGTGTAATTTTGGGCTGGCCTTGTGATGTGCTGTGTGCAGCCCATGAGCCAACACTGCTGAATTCCCCTCCAGCAAGGGCAGCTCCATCCACACCTCAGCCAAACCATCTTCAGTCACTGGGCTGTTCCTTGTACAGAGCTCCAGGCAGCTCAAACAGAAATTGCCCTCAGCATGAACTTGTTACCATCACTCCCACAGCTCAGGGGGCTCTCAGGACAATTAGCTTGGTTTGGAAAAGCATCCTTGGCTAGTATGGGGCCAAAGTGTAGGGTGATCTGGGGAAAATGGGAAGAGCAAGGTATTTTCTGAACCTCCACACACCTCTATGAGAGTGAAAAGGGACCCAGCTCCATGAGGCATCTCAAGGAGTCCTGGTGTTCAGGAGAGCAAAGTTATTTTCCCTCACAACTGCTGGTGGCACACATTGGTAACCCCACAATGCAGGCATGAGAGGGGACAGCCTTGCCAAACAAACTGCCACAAGAGGAGAAGACAGGGAGGGGATGTTCAGCTGCCTGCAAAGAGGGTAGAAAACAACCAGAGCATATTTCCTAAATAGGTGTCAACTGTCTGCACAGACCCCTCCAGCATGTGCAACTCATCTTCTGCACGTCCTGATGTGTCACTGCCCAGAAAACCCTTGGGTCTTTCATCTCAGTGCTTGAAATAATCCTTGGAGGCCTATTAGTCACATAAGAAATGAGGAAATTAAAATGGCAGAGCTGATGGAAACAAAAGCACAACCTGTGGCATCAGGGAAGATATTTTCCTTGGGAGGCAGGTCTGTAGGAAAATTACTGTCCTTGTGCAGTGACAGAGGGCCTGGGGCGGTGCAGGAGCAGTATAAAAGCAGCACCTTCTCCTCACTCTCTCATCCACTCCTTCAGCTCCATCTTGTTGGGAACAAGGTGAGTTTTGAAGACTTTCATCTTGTCCTCCTTTTCTTATGGGGTGTCTCTGCAAATACCTCTCTGTCATATTCTGGGGCTTCAAGAATGCTTACTCTGGGAGAGGAAAGGATGAAGAAAATGGGGAGAGGAAAAGGTTCAGACTTTGCAGAGATGTCTCTGGAGCAGTGGGCTATGTGGGGTCCTCCCTGGGCCTGCAACTCCTGTTGTGCTCTTCTGAGGGAAAGGAGATGCCTCTGGGATCCTGGTGAAGTCTTTATGGATGAGGAAAAGGGACTCCCTCATACAGGGGGGTGACACATTCCACTTGAAACATCCCTCATGCCTTGATTTTCCCTTCCCTCTCTCCCAGGTGCACCTGCAGCCCCAAGCCATGTCCTGCTACACCCGGTGCCAGCCCTGTGGCCCCACCCCGCTGGGCAGCAGCTGCAATGAGCCCTGTGTCAGGCAGTGCCAGGACTCCACCGTCTTCATCCAGCCCTCGCCCGTGGTGGTGACCCTGCCTGGGCCCATCCTCAGCTCCTTCCCCCAGAACACCGCCGTGGGATCCTCCACCTCTGCTGCTGTGGGCAGCATCCTCAGCTCTCAGGGAGTGCCCATCAGCTCTGGGGGCTTTGGCCTCTCTGGCCTGGGCAGTGGCCTCTGTGGCCTCCCCTGCTGAAGCTGCTCCACCTGGGAGTCTCCACCTGGATCCCCCTCTCCTCCCTCTTTTGACCCATTAAAGCTCTGCTGCATCCCAGCCTGTGCCTCTGTGTCATACTTTGCCCTGCAGACACTCTCCCAAGGCAGAGATGTTGCCCCAGGGGTGTTTTTGGGCGGTGTTGTTGGGGCTGGTTTTGCACTGGCTGTCAACACAGGCTGGCATTGGGAGTGCTCAGTGTGCACTGAGGGACCCTCTGGGTTCTGAGTTTCCCTGTCTCAATGGATCTGAAAAGAATGATAAAATCCCAGGATGGGTTGGCTTGGAAAGGACCTTAAAGCTCATCCAGTTCCATCCCCTGTCATGGGCAGGGACAACTTACACTATCCCAGATTGCTCCAAGCCCCATCTCAGCCTGGCCTTGAACACCTCCAGGGATCCAGGGGCAGCTACAGCTTCTCTGGGCACCTGTGCCAGGGCCTGTCCACCATTGTAATAAACGATTGCTTCTTGATATACAGTCTAAATTTACTCTCTGTCAGTGTGAAGCCATTCCCCATTCTCCTGTCACTACACATATTCTTGTAAATAATCTCTCTCCATCCTGACTGTAAATTCCCTTCAGGTACTGCAAGACCACAATTACATCACCCCAAAGCTTTTCCTCTCCAGGATGAGCAACCCCAATTCTCCCAGCCTTTCCTCACAGCAGAGCTGCTCCATCCCTCTGACACTCTCAGATTCCTCTGGACTCGCTCCAACAGCTCCACGTCCTTCCTGTGCTGGGACCCCTGAGTTGGAGGCAGCTCTGCAGGTGGGGTCTCACCTGTTCATGGCAGAATCCCCTCCCTTGTCCTGCTGTCCAAGCTGGTTTGGATGCAGCCCAGGACACAGTTGGCTCTCTGGGCTGCCAGAGCACAGTTCTGGTTTGTGGCAGGCCTATCATCCCATAGGCACCCCAAAGTTCTTCTTGGATAGGATAGAATAGAATAGAATAGAATAGAATAGAATAGAATAGAATAACCCTAGAACTTAATAAAATTATCCTGCATAGTCCAGGGACAACCATGCACCTCTGTCCTCTTTAAGCTGAATGTTTGACACATGTACTCAGCAGTGAATGAGTTACACACCAGACAAAGGACCAGTTTCCCATCAGGCTCCAGGAGGTCCCATCCTAACCACAGGATTCCCAAAAGGAGGGACACAGTGCAGTGGGCTGCCTTCTCACAGACTGTGTTCCCATGGAATCACAGATTGGGTTTGGTTGTGTTGCCCAGAAAATCAGATTTGTGACCCACTCCACAACAACTCAATAGTCACACACAGCACAGACATTGATTATTTATGTTAGAGATGCACAAGCCTGGGTGCTTGGTGGAATTCCTCAAATCAAGCATACCCACCAGACTTTTCATGCCATTATTTGTACTCAGAAATTCAGAGTTAGAAGCTTTCCAAGTACAGCTCTCTATTGGGATTGGGTGCTGAGTTCCATACAAGAGACACAACCCCAGCTCAGGAGAAGGCTCTTCACCTGGCCACAGGGTGTTTTTGACCTGTAGATGTGACTTTCAGTATTGCAATGAACAGAATTCAGCTATAGGACACATGGACCTTGAATATTCTGTCAGGTTAGCAATGTATGCATAGGCACACATCAACATCTTCATTTACTACATCCTTAAAAACTTCTTTTTCCATGGATGTCCCAGAGTAAGAGATGCTAACTGCAATCTGCTCCACTGGCACACAACATCTTGATTTGTTACTGTTGTGGTTTAGGGATGGTATTCTCCAATTTAGTAGTCTTGCTAAAAAAAAAATCCACACCAACACTGCCTTCCCCTTAGCTTCCAGCTGGAAGCACAAAAGTCAAAGATCAAAGGTTGAGATAAGAACAATTTACTGGAAACAGCAATGAGACAAGAAAACAAACAGTAACAGCTACAATATTAATACCAAAAGCTATGAGACTAAGAAATTATTTACAGGAAAGTGAAACAATTTCAGGTGGTTTCACCCTTCTTCAGGGTTTTTCCCACTGGGAGGAACAGCCTTCTTCCTGGAAGCAAGAGAATAAATATGGAATGGACATGAGCTGGAATGATAACATGGAGGTCTTGCCCATGCCCCCTCCTGCTCACCTGGGCCAAACCAGGACAATTACATCTTTAAGGCTTTTTATTCCCTGATGTCCTTGACCAGGGGAGGCAGCTGCTGCCTGTTCTGCTGGTTAGGGCTCCTTTTTTACTGAATGAGGCTGGAAAGTACAGTAAGATCTTTGTCGTGATTTGACAATGGTATTTTCCATTTAATGTTTCAAATAAAGCCATGTGCTGCTCTCACCCCTTCCCCTCCTTCTGTGGAGGGCTGTGGAGGAGAATTGTAAGCACAACAACCAAAGATCACAGGCTTAGATAAGTACAATTTACTGGAAGCAGCAATTAGATGTCAGTAGAGAAAATTAGAAAATGGAGTTTCCTATTGCATCATTAAGAATATTTAAAGTGAGCCTGTGTTAACACCCTGTGAACAACCATCCCCCACAATCCCTTCCCACAACCAGCACCGAGCAACACCTCTCATTTTGGGCATGTTGGGAGAGGATCTGCAGGGGAATAAATGAGAGGGAAACATGGACTGCGATGCAAAAGAACTTTATTGAGTCAAACCAGGAAAATTAGGTCAATCCAAGGTGAGGGGCCAATGCAGAGAGCACCAGGGGCAAACAACATTCTGTTGTGATTTCCAAGCAGGTGCCCACAAAGGAGTGCAGAGCCAGCAGTGCTCCCCAGGATGGCTGAGTGGGACTCACAGCCCGGGGAGCACAAGGGAACAAGGACACAGGAGGGAAAGGAGAGAGTGGCAGGGGACAGAGGCAGGGCTGGGCTGTGCTTGCCAAGAGCCCAGGCTGGCCCTGTCCCTCTGCAAGGGCTGCAGGGCTTGCTCAGCCCCTCAGGAAGCACCAAGGCCATGCTGTGTGCCCAGGGCAGTTCCATCCTGGAGTGCCTGGGTTCCTTCCCCAGCAGCTTCAGCAGGGGAGGCCACAGAGGCCACTGCCCAGGCCAGAGAGGCCAAAGCCCCCAGAGCTGATGGGCACTCCCTGAGAGCTGAGGATGCTGCCCACAGCAGCAGAGCTGGAGGATCCCACGGCGGTGTTCTGGGGGAAGGAGCTGAGGATGGGCCCAGGCAGGGTCACCACCACGGGCGAGGGCTGGATGAAGACGGTGGAGTCCTGGCACTGCCTGACACAGGGCTCATTGCA